GTAAAATTTTGTTGTAAATTTCAAGATGTGTCCGTACCTTTAAAGTATTCACGTATGCGGCCGTGGGCGTAGCCTGTACGCCGACAATGCCGCCCGGCCGGCAATGAACCCTCACATTTGCTTTGCCGAAACAATTAGCAGAGCTTCACAACTACATACACAGCGACGCGTTATCGAAAATCTCGATGCTATACCTATGTTTATTTTATACATATCTAAATCTTACATTTAGTTATTAATAAAAGCTTTCTACAAAATAAGTAAACTGTAATTATTAATGCGAAATAGGAAACACGTTTAAACATTGGATTTTTTTAGTTTCACAGGGTCTCGAGAACTGTGTACAAATAAACTAATTTTCGTAACCTGAGTACGTAACTACCGAATTTGGTGGTTTAGGTCAATGGCGCAATTGTTTACCCACCGCTTAATAATGCTAAATCAAGTTATTTTTCTTTAAATTTTAATGAACTTAACGTGGGCGTCGAGTCGTTTGGCGCAATGAGCGACAGGGCCGCGCCTTCTATGCCACGAATTAGAATCTTGTGACTATATAAGCAAAGATGTATAATGGATCGTCGCGTTGTGTAAGAATGGTTCAAGGCGAACTGGATATTAAAAAATCTAAACATTATTTGGAAAGCTTCAGCACCTTGAGATGTGTTTGAGCGTCCATCTCGCAGATCCGTCCCCGGTCGCGACGAGGTCGTGCGGCTGGTCGGGGGGAACAAAGGGCCGTGACTCACGTCCGGGCTACGATGGCCGGAGAAAGGAACAGTTCTCGAAATAGAATAATGACCGGTGGACCTGGCCTACGCTCGTTCGACAAATCGAGCTGCACCGTCGTGCGGAGTTTCACATGAACGGATTTAAGCTTAGTCGTTATATTCATATAGCCTGGAAATATCTTGCCCAGCTACTCGCACACGCGACGTGTTTATTGATAAGTAAAATCTTTAAACACGTTTCTTGCATACGAGCGGCGATTGAGTGAGGCGAACCGGTTGCAATCGGCACTTACGAACGCGTTTTTCCACTGAGCTCAGTCGTTTTGTAAATTAATGTAAATGCAAATAACACGATAATCGAATATATTCCACGGTCACAGCGAGGCAACGAATTCCGTCGGTATTTGAAACTAATCGTGTCACATTGCGGCGCAAAGCGAAAACAATATAGGTAATAATCTAAAATAGCTGATTGTCGACTCTGAACGCTGGGTTGGCGGCGACTCCCACGATCAAAACTTATTGTTCACTGCAGTCGAAGGTTTCTGCAGCGCCTGGCCATTGAGAAACAACGGAGGTGGCGGCCTAGAGGCCAGAACCAACCATTTGAGATATCTTTCCACTTTGAATTGCGAAAATTGTTGGAAAGCTTGTTCGCATTGAAGTCTTAAACACACATTCTCTTATTGGCTACTGTTTATAAGAAAACTAACCGTCTTTCTTTTCTTATTCCAAGTTAAAATATCATGATGGAGCAACTAAATGCATAAGTACATAATGTAGCTCGCACTAATGTTCGTCTACCTAAAGGTTAAAATAGAACGATAAATTCCGGGATACTTTCGATTGCCTATTTTATTACCAGCGTTTTATTAATTTCATGAATGAGCTCGTAAAGTTGATTAACGGAAGTTTACAGGTGACGCGTGTGATATGCACAGGGCTGTGGGTGGGGGACAGGGGGCAATTACAATGCCTTTATCTGAACACGTGGAGAGCTAATCACGTCGCGTGACCTCCGTCGCTAACCGACAGTGTGTACAGCACACGGAAAATGTTACGCCTTACACAACACACGGTGTAGACAGAAGATCAATGAACTATATCGAGTGGGTCTTCATTGTTGACTATGTTCCAAGAATACGACGTAACCCTTTTCACCAAGGTCATGTCTGAAATTCGACATTAGCATACTGTGTGCATATAATAAGTGATTTTTACATACAGATAAATATGGGTTATTGAAGTTTTATATTAAAATAATTCAACACTTCGATTCAACATATCACGTTTAGTTCTGATAACACTACACGAGTATAATTTTCCTTATACATTGAACGTGGGGTATATGTTAATTAATCTCGAGTTAATTATTGTAACGACTACAAAATAACACCCTGTAACGTATTGTGTAAACTTGTTATCTTTGCATTTGTTCAGGCGTTTCCTCTCATTATTTTGCAAACGATAAGCAATATATGACGCGTAAATAATGTAAAAAAACACGATCGACGATGCTGTGGCAGTGGTGGGAAATGCGTGAGGCGGTTAACGAGAATCATCATTATTACTTTATACTTTACTGACCGAATTAATTATTTCTAGATGGTGATTTTTATCGCATTTAATTTAAATACGCAAAGAAATTTGGTATAATTTACTTAGAAACTTTGATTACCAGTTAGTTTTGATATGATAATTGTTACTAAGTTTTTAAATATCTTTTTGAGCACTATAAAGGCCTTTTGTTCAATACGTAAATTTTCTATAAACTACCTGCAATTTAGCATTATCTATAGAAAGCCCGTGTAACCTGTGAAGGTACTCAATTTTCTGAACAATACTAAGCATGAGGTACAAAGCACTATACAGCAAGGTCTCCGTGCAGGTACAAAAAAAAAACTTTTCAATATAATAATAATACACGGAGCGGTTGTATTTGTAAATAGGCAGGTAGACGGTTGTAGGTGTATTTACGGCCTCAACGGTTTTGAGATTTTTTTTTGTTTCGATCCGCCGAAATACAAAAAGGGCACCAGAACACCTTTCGAATTTCCCACTGGCAGAATTCAATGCGATCTATTGTGTAATCGTGGGCAAAGATCACCTGAGTTTAGCAAATGAAGTTATGTAAATGTCTAATATTGTATTGGTAACGTCTATTTATGACCTTTGAATATATTTGGCTGGATATTCTAGCTTATAGGTACTAAATTGTTGTTGTTCATTGCTCCACGGGGTAATTAAATCTTTAAATAATAACGAATGTTGACAAATACATGAATTCAAATGTGTAATAATGACTTGTTGGTTATAAAAACACATGTTTCTCAATTTACAATTAAAAATATTTCTTGCTTTATTTATATACCTGATATAATATTACTCTCCTGTATAAACAAAGAACCCTACTATCCCCTACCCTACATAACCGAATATAAAATGGCGCTGAGCAACAAGTGGTTCATATGCAATGTAAAACACCACAAAAACGGACAGCAGGTAGCGTAAAAGACGAGCGAACGATTTATAACTATGTGAATTAGCTAATAGAACCGGTTTTGCCCCACCACAACACTTGAGCTTCGGAACGTATGTACAAGCAAATGTGTGACTTATGACCAGCACCCAAGTTCTTTTTTGTATTGCACGAAGTACGATAATATGAGCCGTACCAGTCACACCACTTAACCGAGTCTGTTCTTCACCCTTGCTGAGATTTGAAAAGGATTTGTCAAGCAATATTACCGACGATCGTTTATGTGAAAAAAAATATATATTATGTACTATTCTTCAACCAAGGATGAGCTATTTAAATACATATATAAATTCTTTACAAATTGATCAAGATTAAAAATCGTGAATTCAATAATTTTAAGTTGAACAAGTTTGAAGCCGTCATGATAGTTTGTGCGTTCTCTATTTTCAAAACTTTAAAAAATAAAACGTTCCTATTGACAAGTTTTCTTGTGTTCAGATGTCAAAGTGTCAACTTACTTTTACTTTTCCAAGGAAACTGGCTATGCGTCTCGCCAGATCGTATTCAACTCCACAACACTTCATGAACAGACTGGTCCCACCAGCGCAATCGCACGCAATACTAGCAACTGGTTTAACTTATTTTCCGTATAATGTAATTATGGAGTTAGGAACCATTGACTTAGGCAGTAAAAGGTAAGGGGAAATTCAACTTACCTTGTTTAGCGTAAGTGTACACAGTTGGCTAGTTACGGACTATTACTAACTTAACGATTACGATATAGAATGTTTTCATCTTGTTTAAATTTAAATTGATCTATAAATAGTAGGAATTACAATACTTTTTTCTTTTTTAAAAATATTTGCAATTGTTGTTGCAACAAAAACATTACAAAAAATAACTAACATTAAAAATCGAATTAGAAATTAATTTGTTCATTATCTTTTGATCAACATTACCTAATTAATAAAGAATAATAATTAATCGTTGTTGTTATTGATTGAAGACATTTGGAATAAAACAAAATTTTATTTTAAGCTGTACAATTACATGCAGCTGTTAATTAAATGTGAATAATATCTCACAAATATAATTAAAATAATTATAAACGGTAAAACTTTCAACAAATACACACATTAAATTGCATTAGTTATGAAAATAATCTTGTACATAACCAGCGCAAAAATGCACAAAATATACGATAATCATAATTATATCTGCTTTTAGGTATGTTATATGAATTTTTTGTGAACTATTTTACGCCTATACAACTACAAATTTACTTTTAGTAAACTTTTTAGTCTGACGAAAGTCGTTGCATTTTTTAAATTGACGCCATTATTGGGTAGTATGATATTTTCAAAAATCCGTAAAATTCAAACGAAAAAGTATTATAACAATAGAAATTGATAAACAGTGATAACTCTGGTATATATTTACTTAAATAAAAAGATTTCATTTTTATAAAGTTTTGAATTTGACCGAAACATGGCAATTATGTTTACTAAGAAATTTGAGTGACATTGCAAAATAAGGTTAATATTTTCTACATGCTTAAGTTTACTAAATATTACGAAAGCAGTTTGCAATTTATAACACGTTTTTAAATATATTTGTTGCATTTCAAAAACTATTACAAAGTTTTAGTAAAAGTTTGGTGACATTTAAAAAGTTGGATAGGTTAAAAACGTGGTGTATTGTTAAGAGCTAAATGCAATATTTGTACTAACAGCCATTACTATTATTATAATCAATATCCAGCAACGAAAAAATAATAACTAAATAAATCTTACCTTCAAGAACAGATCCCCAAAATCATACAGAGCAGACTGATGCATTATGGCAGTAGACATTATGTAAAACCAACTCGACACTAATTTTGATCCAGGATTTTAGAGCTTATTTTGCGTAGTTGACAAACTGATCCACTAAATCACGATATGTTCAAGGAACTCACTGCAATTTTGGAGTAAAATAATTAGTCCACGATGTTTCGACAAGAATTTAAAAGAATCTCTGCGTAAAGTTTGTTGAATGTTGTAAGAGTACGAGAATTCGTTGCGTTTTTGTTTTTCGTTCGGTGACCACAGATTGAGTCCGAACTAGTTGGCCGAGGGCGGTGATTTTTTTTTCCTGTGCCCTCCACGATTAAGCCAGAACAAATTTTTTCTGAACACAATTTCGCATTAATTGCGAAAATGTACAAAACAGTCCTTTGTTTCGAAAAGTCTTGTTCACTTTTATTTTTCGCGTCTATACGGAAATACACAAATATCGGTCAAAACTCTGCGCGAACTGTATCTATATGCTTTGGACAATAAATACTTTTTAGTTCCCGACTTTATACACCAAAATGTCTTTATACTGGCTGTATAAATCGCAAGATTAAAAAAATAAATCGCAGTGTCAACGTCCGCGCAAAACGCACCACACGTTCATTCCGTATCACGCTCGCTCGCGCACTGAGCCTGCGATTCGGTTCGCCCGTGACTTGTGAGCCCGCGGCAGGCGGGTGGATTTTGTTTTCAAATCAAACAGCGCGATCACGTTTTGGAGCGAGATTCGTTTTCCGCTCGGCCGCTCTCGGCTTCCATCGGCTGTTTTCGACGGTTTGTTGTTGCTCCGACCGCCACAACAAAAGTGACAAAACTCTCCCATGGCGGCCCGCTCTTGCTTTTTATATTACGTTTATTACGGGATACTTTTTAGACTACGCAGCAATAAGGAGTTATAGTCATTATAAGGACGGCTTTTGCTTTATGCTGATTTATATCTCACAATTACTGATGTAAGTACCAGACAATTATTTACTTATTATTACAAGTAGGTACCTAATTTGGCATAGGAGTAGTATTAAAGGTATTATACTTAACTAGTGATTTTGCTTAAGTTTACTCCTATTATCAGATTTGTACATACGATGTAGTCAAAATTACTTCGACATTTTAACTAGGTTTTACATTCAATACCAAGAATACATGCCACGCATTGAATGACAATTAATGTATCAATATACAGTCATCTTATAATAATACCATGCTGCCATACTGGACGACATAATGATGCCTGTATTGGTACTTAAAGAATTTGCTCTTGAGCCTAGTATATACCCGTCAACTATATAGAATTCGGCGAGGAAGTGCTAAAAAATAAGTGGCCAGAACGGTGAACAAACGCAAAAAGTTGTAATTTTAGAGCTGGTTCGACCAATGGAGGTAACCGCTGCCCGCGTCCTTTTTAAGGCAAGTGTTATTTTAACTGTAGCAGCGTTTTTAACATGCTATTATGATAATATTTAAAAAGTTTAGTTACGTAAAAAGTAATAATTTATTTTTATTATGTACTAAAATTTCAACTTATGGATTGATATATAATAAGTATATAATTAAAATATAATTGAGATTTTTATCATTTTCCTAGAAAACTTTAAATACATGAATGTTGATATGCCCTAATTTAGAATTCGGTTAATAAAAAAATATATATATTACAATGAGACTTTAAAGATATAGCGCTTAGATAGAATATTTTAAAACTTTCAACTATACGAGGCGGTTTATTTGATTGTGATTTATACAGTAAATTGATTATTTAATTACTTTTCAATACGCTTACGCTCCGCTCGTCAATAAGTCGTTAGTAGATTGTCCGCCGCGTCCCTCGAGCAACTTTTTATTATGGCATTCGTTGCAAACCCGTTTGTCGGTTTAGTGTTATGCGCTATGTTGCACCAACCATACGGGAATCGATAGTACCAAGCACTCCACTCAATGGTAAATGGACGGCAGAGTTTCATGCTGTATCATCTACACTAGACAAACAAATCGGACCGTGGGCTTCCACGAACAAATGTAAAAATCTGTTTTCCAAATAAGATGAGGAATGTGAATATGTTTTGTAAAGTTGTTTTGTTAGTGGAAACTCAAAGTATAACGTTGGATCTCTGCTTGGGTTTTAGTTCTTGAAACATAGTTTTGTGCTCGAGTGTTAGGTAGATATCATGGTTCATCGGTACTTCTTGTTAGTGGCTGATATACGCTGATTTGTAAAAGATTAATAACATAATAATTTCCATACAATTAATTGCGTTGAGTCGCAGTTCTACAGTCTCATGGGAAATATTCTGTAATTCGAGTTGAAATATGTAACTCGTGTTAGGGTTTCAGACGTCAATTTTCAAATACAAAAACGCTATATACTCTTTAGCGTATAGCTTATAGTATTTATTTTATTTTGTTTCGTCACTTTTGTTGGTCTACCAAGATGATGGTTGTTTTGGGGGTGCGGCATCCCTACCAAGCCTAACATATATCTTTACATCATCACATACTAGACTAGGATAGAAATATTTAAAATCCAATTGACTAAAAATAAAGAAGCATTACGACTACTTAGGTTAATTTTAACATTTGCCCTACGCGGGAGGTCGTTTGATACGGAATAAAAATTTAAATTTGATAATTAACTCTTCCAATTTATTTTTGGTCCTTTTTAAGGAACCGGAATTTTATCGATTGATTTAAATAGACATAAAGCTCATAAAGATGTTTGCGATTTTATCCAATATTTACAAATTTTGAAAAATAAAAACTAAAGTATCTTGGCGGTTTTGATTGTTTAGGAAATGGTTATAAAAATTGAAATAATCACTAATGTCTGTTGTTATAATCTTTATCAATTAAATCATTCTACCCTAGTATGATAGTTTTTAATTTTTTTTTTTAAATTTTCAATCGAACGAGGTTAATCCTTATCATTAGTAAAGCACAAAAAAACAAATGATTTCACGCATCATTATTATATTAATTTCAATAACAAAAACCAGATGTATAAAACATAACTATAATAACATCCTTATTGTCCTTCGTAGGCGATCTTTTGAATATGAAATTACATTAAAAAAAATCTATGATAGATGGATATAAAAATAAATATTTATACGGAACCACCGGGACAGTGAACAATGACTATACATGACTGTTTTATATAATGTGTTAGTGTCGAGTGACTCGAGTGACGAGCACGTAGAACTTAGTGCTTACTCCTAAAGTTATGGTGCTTGGAAACCCAATACATTGTATGCAAACACGCTTTGTATTACTGCTCGTGCCTGCACATGAACTTTATAATTAACATATCACAATATCATAGTCTATTTACGAAATATAATACAAACTAAACAATAATCAAATTATCAAAAATAATATAGAGATAGCTATGAGATATTTAGAGTCCTTAAGTGTTCTTATTCAGTACAGATTTTACAATTGTAAATGGTAATGTTTAGATGGATGAATGATTGTTTGAAGGCGTCTCCGGGTCGGTTCTACAGATCTCGCTGGAATTTGGCACAGATGTAGAACATAGTCTGGTAGAACACACCTATTAAGTTTTTTTTTAATTCCGCGCGGATTTCTTGGCGTCAGCTAGTATATTTATAAAATCTATATTAGGGGTGTTAGTAAATAAATAAATATTTTGAGTGCGGCAAAAACTTGTCAGTACTTCTTAAGCAATGTAAAAAATATTTATTCTAATTAAAGGTTTAATTTAAATCATGTCATTGGATACAATATTGGATAATTGCATTCGGAGACTGAATAAGTCCTTGATTAGTTCAGACTGCTTTGTAACTCGAAACATTGAGTCGGTACTATTCAATTAATTTGACTTTCCATTTTAGATTTACTCTTAGTACAGGAGCACTAACCAATTTATAACGAATTAGTTCTATTACAATACTATTAATAATTAATTAGATTATGATAATTATGTAATTAGTTAATCAAAGAATAAATAAATAACATTTACAATTATTGTAATTGACTATTAAATAATAAAATTATTACCAAACCAAATATAAATAAAAAAATTAAAACTATTTATAGCATATGAGATAAATTTCAAAAGTTCATATTTCAAAGAATTTTGATTAAGATATTTCTTTAGAATCTGAACTTCTTGAAATTAAATAAATAGGTTATGAGTCTCCGATGAATTTAAAGAACAAAACAATGTAAAAACTGGCTTAAACCTAACTCCAAGAAGTCTGTGATAATGGTGCATTGCTGTTAGTCATTTACAACTTTAAACAATGAATCGACCAATGCGGGATCCACGATTTCTTAGTATCAAACAATAATGTAAACCCTGCTAAATTAGTTAAGAAATATTTTCATTATACTTCACGAAAAGTGTAGTAGTTTATTGTAATAGTCTTTTGTATCTTTTACTGTGGATTTCTGAGAGCAAAATCTCCGTTTAAAACATATTGTTATCTCTGTGTTGTAAAAGATAATGACAAGGATGGCGATATGTTTAATACAGAGATTTAGGCATCAGAAATTAACAGTTAGTGATGTTTATAGAGTAAAATAAAGTTATTACTGTCTGGAATAGCAATTAGACTTATTTCTTTTCTAATTCCATGCGAACGACAGCTAGTTTTAAGAAATAAATTGAACCTTCATTTAAACTTGATGCGCTACACAGTGCAGATTACGTGGATTTATTACAATCATTGAAAAGCTAAACAAATACGAATGTAAGGAAATGTTTACTCGCAAACAGTACACTATCAATTGAATTGCTTCGTATTACCGTAGGTCTTATATCAAAGATCGTGAAGAACAAAGTCACCTTTGTTGTTATCGACCGGTGTCTATTTTATGTCGTAATAACATACTCGAGTCTCGAGTGAGTGTAAACATAATAATTTCTAGTCACAAAAGTCTATTGTTATACTCAACTCGAATATTATTGGATATGAAATGTATTTACGCGATTTAATTCTTGAAAAATATTACGTAGATTGGAGTATACGACTTCTTTGTTACAAGGAGTTTGCATTCTACCTTCAAATAGGCCAAACTGGCCTCAAATAATTTTACACATTAAATATAAGTAAAAAGATACGTTTAAAAATAATTAGGAATCAGGCGGGAATTGAAACGAAATGCACAATAGAGCTGTAATGAAATATTACATGTCAATGTAAAATATATGTAAATAGTTTTGGGTGCAGAGCAATTTCTTTAAATTATTAATAAATTTTTTTTAAATTATCCAGTTGTATTTCAGTAACACTCTTTCGGTATCAAAACAAAGCTATAAAAGCGTAGAAAATCCATAAATTAATACGATCGTGCGCGACCTACACAATCCTAAAGACATTAAGACAATCTATAAATTTATTGTTTATAATTTTTTGATTAACGTTATTTCGATTTCGCATTACCCTAATTGAAAATCATAAAGGCCATCATTTGCTATAAACAGCAGTAAATTTTCGCAAAGCAAGTACAAAAATTATTATAATTCCAAACATAGGAGGAACCTATAATATGTACAGTGGACGAATCGACTAGAAAGCAATAATCTGTAGATGAATACCATCGTAATAACTGTGTATTTCAAGAGCTATTAATGTTATATTCTTATAATAAATTCGGAATTAGATAGTATAATATACAGGTTTCATTTTTTGTATGTATATTTAGTAATAAAATTGCATAAAATGGCAAAGCAGGTAATAATTTGGCACGCATACATTGCGTTGAAACAGGGCTGCTTTGATGCGGGCGCGGACGTCGCTTATCACGAATATATTACAGAATATATAACTCAGTATGTTACACGATAACTGATTTTTACTGCTCTAAATACTTATGTAACAGCACCAGCAGTACAACGTCGTAACGCGCCCCGACGCAACTAAATCACGAACTATGTTAGCGCGTTATCTCCGCATTTCGTGTGCATTTTCGACATACATTTCGTTTATTTTGTTGCACTCAAGTATGCTTAAGTAATTCATATTCAAACTAACTATTTCAGTTTGTAAACATTTACGAAATATTGTGTTACTTTTCAAGGAAATCAAAAGACTGTGTAATAAAAATACTACAGGCATATTTGGTATTTATTCAACTTGTTTTTTATTCATAATTTAACTGGCAGTGTTCATTTCAAACACAAATTCAACAATTTTTTTATTTATAATTTAACTGGCAGTGGTGTTTTATACGTTACTAGCTTTTCGCAAATCCGCTAGTGAGCATTTTTTGCTGAAAAATACTTTATTATTTGTCTATGTGTTCTTCCGAACTATGTTCTAGATAGATAGCTTCTAAAAACATCCATCCATGTATACATTCAAAAAATCGCATTTATAATATAAGAGTAGTAAGGTTATTAATATTTTTAACTAGTTGAAATAATATGGCGTTCTAAAGTCTAGGCTAGAGTGTTATATTACATTTCGTTACATTTTTGCAGTGTTTTGTTTTGCGATGGAAAAAAATCATATTCTGTACACGTTAGCTATCATTTTATTTCCGCTGGTCACTTTATAAAGGTTTCAAATTGTATAATTTGATACTACTAATTACGTCAATATACGAATATGATATTTTAAAAGTAATAACTTTATGTATTACGCAAATATACACTTCGAGTGTATGCACTTTTGGATAATAAATATCAATTCAATTTTCAATATCCAAAGTGAAAAGAAAAATTGTCTAAATTTTTATATGAAAGTCAACTTATCTTACTTCTTACTAATATGGATGGATGTTTGTATGAAGGTGACTCCAGAACGGTTGCAAGAATCTCGCTGAAATTTGGCATAGATGTAGATCGTAGTCTGGAAGAACACAAAGGCTATGTTTTTTAAAGCCACGCGGACGGAGTCGCGAGTGAAGCTTGTTGCGCATATAAATACAAAATTATTAGTCGCAAAATATTTTTGGCACTTTTATACTCTTTCCTTGAGTTTAATCTAAATATTTAGCACAGGTGCATTTGTATCACTTGCTCAAATAGTTGTTAACATCTGCAATATTGTAATTACCGAATGTGTAACGCCGGCTCGTTGGTTCCATCCAATGTCAATAATACCTAAAGCACGTGGTGCGTTTGCACAATTGCGATATACTTCCTACAAACACGTGACTTATAATATAATACGAGAACAACAATGTTGAGTGTTTTTAAAGAATATAGATAATGTCGTTTTATATTGCCGTTTATAAATCATTCATCAGCTCTTGATGCCTCGGTGTTTTGTCTTAAACCAACCAAGATATACGCTTTAAAATAAATTTGCTTTCAAAAATACTAAGGTAAATATTTTGTTTTCGGTACTTCTGCGGCCAAAGCGAAGACGTCATTGTGCGCTCGTCCACATCACAGTAGCAACATCACCAACAAACTGTTACTTAAGTAAGGTAAGAGTAGATTTTAATAATGTTATTCTTAATTCATTGTCATTAACCTAACTTAGAATTTCATATCAGTAAATACAAAGAAACAAGATTTTAATAATTTTACGGGTAATAGTAGCGCCATCTGTTAGACGCTTTTTGAAAAGAATGTTTTTTTGTAAATTTTTTTTTCTTAGGATTAGAACTCGTTTTACTAATTTAGAATTTTAACCCTACGTCTAATACGTGCGCTTTGTGTCAATGATACAACCTATGACACTCCGGGGAAGAAAACAAATCGAATGACACCTTATTATTGGGTAAATGGATTGAGATCCTTCCCATTTTTTTTATCTGTTTGAAAAAAAGAGATAAAATATTTTTATATGTGCTATGGGAATGAAACGGTTAAACATACGATCATCTTTATTGCCTTTATTTTATAAATGCTAAAACCATATCTTAATGAACAAATTTAATACGATATAATCTAAATTAGGATCTGCATTTATTAACTTTTATAAAAACAGGAAAATGATATGCAACTTGATAGCAGCTAATTTTGCATTTCGCGGTAGTGATGAAAAAAGAGAAAAACAAAATACGATTTTTTAATTTTCTTTTGTTAAAATAACATAATAAAAACTGCAAAGTCAGATATTATGTATATTCTTTAAACGTGAAATTCCACTTTGAGAATATCAATGAGTACCAAAATTATAATTAAATGGTACAGTCAGGGCTATTCGCGGTATTCCAATAAAAATACCTAGTTCCTTACAACAAGACAAACTTCAATCCTTCTTACAAAATAACCAATTAGGTAGCAATGACTTGCGCAAACAAAAGCATAACAGGGAAATGCAATTAGTCGTGTTCTACCGATCACATTTGGTACAGACACATTTAAAAGCTATACGTCATTTATGTTCCACGTCGTCTGCATGTTTACAAAATTTTGAAACGACTTTAGCTTTCAAGCTGGGACACCGCCAAATTCCCCGACTGTACATAAATCCAAGAATAAAGAATAGGTCGCGACCAACTTTTGACAATAAAGTACATAAAAATACACATGACAGCACAACTTGATAAATTAGAATTACTTAAATGTGTATGTAAATTTTAAATATATTTAAAGAGAATGCTAATTTAATGGCAATTGAATTGTTTAATGGATTGAAATAATAAATGTTAAAGTTGTTTCTTCCTATATTGAAACAAAAACGAGTAATATAGAATTATATCTAATTAAAAGATGAATGTTTTAAAAATCATAATATAAATTACGTCCGTCCTTTCGGGAAGAATTCAAATCTAATTACGGTCTCATTTTGCAGTTATTAAAATTAATTGCATTGAAATGACAATGTAAAGTAGATTAAAATCTATTCCAAATTACACCAACAACCGTACCAATAAAAATACGATAACACCCATACATTTATCTCATGAAATCATCAACTTAAGAGATGTATAAATGTTTACATATTTATAAAACCAAGATTACTGTACGACGTCTTGTAAATGTATTTGTTGCTCTCTCAATAATATAATAGAACCACAAACCAAACTTATATTGACTAGATTAGTGGTATGTTGTGTTTAAGGATTGAATGGAAACTTGAAACATCAAAAAGGTCAAGAAATAAAATTAATCAAATTGTTTACCCCTTGTCTAGGAACCATGACAGATAAAAAAACATACAGAGATAATTTATTCCTGAAACTCAAGGTATCTTTTTTTCTTTAATTTATTTTCGTAAAATTCCTTAGACAACCTAATATGGCAAATGTAATATTCAGCAAACAATTTGTTACACCGAAATTGGACAGCCGAAGTAATTAAAGGAAGCCTTCAGCTTCACTAAATAAGCTGTTCAAAGGGCATGCGGCAAAGAAAATATGTCTAAGAATTGTACAGTCGCGCACACCATGTACAAACATTCAGAATCTTATCTATGTAATATAAGTTTTACTTATCCTCGAGAATGTACTAACATTGCGTGTATCGTCTTTATGATTACCATACGAATGGATTTCGACAGGACATTTCTAACTGTTACCTTACAATGTTGAGTATATAGAAACAGTATAACTCTATTGAAATATCTTGGTGGCCCAAGGTCATCAACGCACTCCGCAGTGCACTAAAATTGTATTCTGCGTAGCGTCGCGCGCAAAGTTATGATACGCCAAGATATGTGAAAACATTTATACCTACTTTATTGCACATTTGTAATTTTATTTTCCTTACAACTTGTGGAGCTTTTAGATGCTGCGATGTCCGTTAAGTATGTTGGAAACTGAACACGGCAAGATCAGGGATGAAAATGGTAAATCATTTGTAAAAATTGTTTTAAAAATGTTTTGCCAACACTTTTGACAATATAATAATGTCAGTGCTGAAGTGACAAATATAATCATTTACTTTATCTCATATCTTACATTACATCAAAATAATTATTTGCTTTAACTTAATATTATCTATGTTATTTAGTGCAAGTAACAAAAAATATTTAATATATAAATAATCAATATAACAACGATTACGAAATAACTAAAATTAGCGCAAGATACATTTATAATCATAATGAGTTTTACATACCAGGGAAACTATTCCCTTTTAATCTGGACATTTAGTTACCAACTACGAGCTACGTAACACGGTGGTACGAGTAACTACCAGCACGATACTGCATAACAAAAATACAGTCCTGAAGTTATCCCAGCTTTTCATAAAACAATGTCACACTTATTCACACTCCCTTTTGAGGACGGTAATTTGAAAAGGGCAAGCGTCGATCACCTCGAGGCTCGACCTCTCTTACTGCCGGGTTGCTCGAGCACACGTGAACGGATTAACATTAACAACGAAAACAAAGGCCAAGTGCGACTCTCGAATAAGGCATTTCAGGAAGCGATACAGCAGCTCGTACTAACGGTTCTTTTACTTTCTAACGTGGTTAACGTGTCTAAACAAGGGCAGAGATCCGATGCCGAACTAATTGTTGCTACCGCGCTCGGATGCTACACGATAACCTTTTTCTATTCAATTAGATATATTTTACTTGACTTAAATGTTTTTTTTATACGAGTCATGTCTTTTTTTTGTTTGAATAGACTACAGGTTTGGTGCATTTTTTATTTTTGTACTTTGGTTAAAAGCTTTTAATGTGCAACACGTGTAAAAAGATAATACGCCCGCGACATAGTTCATCACAATTTATTTCAGAACTGCTACTATATGTGCCAAAACTTAATTCTTTCGTTAAAACAATCGCCGTTAACTTTAAAATGGTCTTATTATTGAATATTATTCTAGAAGGAATCTTCTTCTAGAAGCTTAAAATATGTTTTAGTAATCAGTATAATAGGTTCAAAGAATTTTCTCGATGTTTTTGTGTTTATCATAATATTTTCGCATGTTTGAGCCGAACTCTATAAACCGCAAAGATAATAAATACAATTTTATTCAATAACCTCTCTTATCTCCGCTGGTATTATTTCCTCTTTATTATTTAAAATTTGTACGATAACATAAAACTGGGTCGTTTGTGTAACTAAAATGTTTGTTTTTCTGAAGTTATCTTTGTGGTCGTTAGGAGATTATTATTATACAAAAATACATACAATCATTTATCTTAAAGGACAGACAAATAGCAATGAACTGTTGTATTATTAGTGTGTAGAATTCAAAACAGGATATATTATTAATATTGACAATATGACATGGTGTTCGGTTTGTGGTAAAATATTTAAGATACAAGACAAATTAAGTTCACTAGTAAGACTACTAGCCAAGATTTTAACTTGTTCAGACTACATAGCTTTCATTAATCACAATAAAGATATGTACTCCCATCCAAAAGAAGTAATGGACACGAAAAAATCATTGTTCCCATTGTACTAAGGAGAGTAAAAGCTACAATAATAAATTAATTGAAGTCGCGACATCTAGTTTAAGAGTTAATTGTCCCCATCCTCCGGACAGCGGTGAATAACGCACGTGATTGTCTTAAAAGGAAGATGTTAGCAATGATTTGCTTTGGTAATTTAATGACAAATATTCCCACGGTATTTTATACTAAGAGTTGACAAAGTTTACAAAATCTTTATCCCGTTCTTTGAAGAACGACTGCTAGACATTTACTTAATAATATCCTACGAGCCCTAGGATCTCCTGACTTGTTTGATTATTGCTTTTAAAAATTTAATAGTAACCCATCATTGCTCTTGGTTAGCTGTTCAAAAATGGTACCTCTGTTAGACATTATCAATCATTTAGTTAAGTAAATATTTGTAAAATGTTTTGGCACTTGTTACTTATGAAATTCTCGTGTTACATATGCAATATTTCGTTACTGTGGGCCCGAATGTTAGTGACAATCGCCATTGTCATTTTTGTCAAAATTATTATAAGACTTTTGGTGTACTTAATGCCCGCTACAAAAATGTTAATTACAAATTTTGTTCGTTCGTGCTAGTACCTATGATCGTAGCGTTTACGTATAAACTAATGGGGGCGCAGTAACCGTGAGTTTCTGATACCAAAAGGCGTTTAAAATATAGTTTTATCTCTGTGTATTCAAAGATATTGACAGGAATGACGATATGTTTTATACAGAGATTTTGGCCTGAGAAATCCACGGTTAGTCAATTAAATCATTGCTATTCTAGTAAACCTGTGGTAAGAATCATTAGCGCACAACTTAACTTGCAATACGTTCACAATCAGTTGTAACATAACATGCGAGCTATTCTTGGACTTATCAATGTAGCTAATTCATTATGTCATGAATATACTTGGCATGGTGTAGATAACTGTAGCTAGCCGTTAAGTAGAAAGCAAACATAAGTTACTTTATTCTATGATAACAAGGAACAAAAAGGTCACAGTCCATTGATACTCTTTGACCTAGCAGTTAGGCATTAAGTAGAATTAAGCTTTAATCCAGTTGACGCTTCAGAATTTACGGAGTTTATACTTTAAGTAAGAGCGTCGGTGGCTCAGGGGTCAAGAA